GTCATAGCCTGGTCTCTAAAGCTCGTATCTGAGCGAGGGCCAAACCCCCAATCCAGTTGATTTTCACACCGCGAACTCGATTGACAAACTGCGGAGCGAGAGTGAATGATAGGATCATCGGCGCTCGTTTCTCCTCACGAATGCACAGACTTTTTGCTGTTTATGTTTCCCTAACATAATATCCTAATATTTCCTCCCCCATTGGGAGTCATACCGATATCTCGATCCCTTCGTTTTTCGACAGAAAATGTTCGAGAATCAGGATCACAGTCGAAACTTCAGCGCAGTCGAACTCATGGTCACGCCCGGGCTCAACTCTGCAAACTGAAATACGGCGTGGAATTCCTCGCCAATAGTTATCGGAGGCAAATGAGTGCTCGACCAAGATTCACCAGAAGGAACTTACTTCTCGCGGCCAGCCCACGCAGGTTTTCCAGTTTTTGAGGACCGAGCATGTCGGTTCGTTTGGCTATCGTGAAGAAATAGCTCACGAGGAATAACTTCTTCACGAAGGGCGCGACGCGCTCATCCAGTGGTCTCAGGTCGAGTCGGTCTTCCCGCAGAGCGACCATACATTTTTCGAGACTCGAGAACCTGCTCGCATTCGGTAGAATAGAAACATCCTCGAGATCGATATCTACTTTCCGGTGGAAGCACGACCCGAGACCTTTTTCCACCATATACGACCGCCTCAAGGGCTCGAGTCTCTGAGTGTGAGGGCAGAAAGGCGATACCAATTCGAAATGAGCACATGACTCCGTATAGAACGCCACGCGGACGGAATGAGCATCGGCTTCGAACACCGCCGCTTCATTGCCAAGCTTCATCACGTGGTTCACGCAGAGCCATACGTTCCGTGCTGGGAATGAGCAAGGAAACGATGGTCATCGCCTGAAAATTGCCACCCTATCGTATTTCCTGGTTCTATCGTACTGGAATCGTGATTTCACCTGCGTCTTTGGCTTCGATCGCGACCTTGGACTCGAAGTCCTCCCTCAACAACAGTTTAGTTTTCCGAAACTCGTGAGAAACACTTTGAATGAACATCAAGTCCAATGGGAACAAAGTGTAGAATCCTAGCGGTGTCTTGTCGTGCAGTCGTTCGGGGATCTCCTCGAGAGTCTTCCTCAAGGTGTTCCTGCGAGTATTCTTTCCGAGGCATGACATTTGATTTTTTGATTTCGATTGATTCATTGCTTGATTCATCAATTCCTCATATTTTCCCACTGGCCCTACGAAAATGAACTGACGATCCCTTTCTACTCACTTGATGCCTTCGATCCCCTCTCTCTGTGGAACTTGTCTCGTGATCACTCTCACCAGCGTCAAATTCCCACCGCTTTCGTTCTTGAATTTGAACGTGCTTGCCACTGTCGTCTCGGTGCCTTCCGTCGTCCAGATGATTACGTAGCGTCTTCGCTGACCGGAAATATTTCAAAGAATGGCGGTATCCCGTATAATAGGATTATGTATGTGTAGAGGGAGCGCTACGGTACATACAAGTCATCTGGAGCCCGAGAAATCGATCCATCGACTAGCATGAAGAGCAGCCAGGGAAAGATAATGAGCCACGCAAGAGCGAAATACTTCAGCGCGCGGTTGGGCTTCTCTTCCTGAAACCGAAGTGTAGACGTTCACTTCTTCGCTTCCAAGGGAACGAACTCCAATATGCGAGAAACGCCCGCAGTCTGCGTTGTACCCATCCAGGACCGAAAGTCGTACTCACAACCGGCTCATCCAAATCAAGCACCGACAAGGTCTCAGATTTTCCGCTGAGGTCCATTTCTTGAGCGACACAGAGACTATTCGTTCACTTTCCATCATTGACGATACCTCCCACGTGCTGTGGTGTCACATCGTCGAACCGCTAAGGCCATATCGAAATTTCCCCGATGTAAGCCAGCGGGATCGAGAAGAATTCTTCTCTCCCATTCGATGGGATGTGAGAGAATCGTGAAGGAGCGGACTATGAGAATATTTCCGACGAGAATTAACGTGTGAAACTCTATTCTCGAGAAGGTCGATAGTCACATTCGCTTAGGCCGCTGCTGGAGTCTGGTGAGCTTCAGCGGCGCCAGCATCCCGGAACGCGAGGTGCTCATCTCACAATTTCCAGCAATGCCGAAATATATCACCGATAAATTCCGAGTCTCCGACCGGCTTCGACTGCGGAGACATTCACGAAGAGCTCAGGAGCTTCTGTGGCGCGTTCCTAAACGGGACCGACCGGAGCTGTTGATTTAAATGGTCGAGTGGACTTCAGGGAGAGAGGCACGTATGGGGTTCCAGATCGGGCATGGAGGGTCACGAGCATTCATCATTTTACTGCAATTCTTAATTGAGCCTTATTCTCATTGCCGGTGATCTTCGCGGTAGCAGTCATCCGAACTGTATCCGAACGGCACAGCTCTCGTCTGTGCTCGCTGAGCGCATAGACATATATTTATGACAAGTTGTTCGCTCCCTTGTTTCTTCTTGACGACGCCTCTTCGACCGGGTCGGCCGATCGCTTCAAGGGGCAGTAGGCAAGAGAGGACGAATACGGCCCGGAATCCTTTCGACCGAGTCCCACCGAGACAAGATATCGACACACAAACGTTTCCCCTTCGTTTCCCAATTTCCATATATCAGCGGAAACCCTCCCGTGGCGAGGTCTCCGCTCTCGGTGAGTTTCCTCTCCAGCAGTCTTGACTCTGCTTTCGCCGGGGCTCTGGTTCGCCTATCGGCTTCCATCCGCTCCGAGGCTGTCCCTTCGCCCTACATATGCAGATTAAAAGCCAATATTCGCTTTTCATACGGAAACATACATCTATGAAGCGTACAGACCCCCTTTCGATCAGTCAATGAGAACACTGTCGAGGGACTTAGGTATCAATCACAGAGTCAGTTTTTCCCTCCGCTCCGATTTCCGACAAAGGTATAAAGGATCGAAGGGTGTCGTGCGGTATACGATGGTCGTTCTTGTTCTTTCCGCTCAGGTACCGCGACCTCGTAGAGGAATCGGAAGCTTCGCATTCCGACTTGGAAGCCCACCTCTCTTTGTTGACATATGTACAATATAGCCTCGATCATCGAAAGTATTTAATGTTGGCTTCTATCGGAATCCCGGTCCACGAGAATAGGCTCCAGGTGTTCTTTTTTTTGCGTTCTTACCTCGCTTCGCTTCGGACATTCGACTCCGATTCAGCGCATTCCCACGGTAGGCAAAAATCTCTCAAATCAGAAGGCTTCGCAGATCGGCCCCTAGGCTCCCGTTGAATGATGTGAGAGATCATGATTCTCGTTGGTATCGTCGTCAAGTATAAAATTCCGGAGCAGGGCATTAGATTCTCTTGAAAACATTTCTCTCTTCCGTTGTTCCGCTCTCAGGCTGAACTCTACGCTAGGTCCGTGTCGGCGGTCCGGACGTCGACCAACACAAGATTTGAGGCGAACCCTGCCGGCCGCAGCGAAGTAAGCTCTTCAAGTTGAAAAATGTTGACGACGTAAACCTGCATGAGAAGCGAAAAAATGTTGAATAATGAACAAGACACGGCGTGCTCTTGAGTGCCGGACGACAAGCTTTTTCTTCTCAGCAGTTGTTGGCCCGTGTTCTTACCCCTCGAATTGTACTTTGCGCTCGCTGTTCCTCTCACTCGCCGCGTGCCTCTCACCTGTTCCTCGCTGCAAGTGTTTCATTTCAAAGCACATTTGCGCAAAGCTCCCGAGCGAAGACTTCAAAAGTCTGTCTTTGTGGGAGGAGTGGATATATTATAGCATGCAGGAATCAGGGCTCACTCGAGAGACAGGAAGCCAGGGAAAAGTGAAGAGACGAACATGGATCACGACGCGGGAAACAAAATAAATTGAAAAGCAGAGCAGAGAGAGAAGGCCGCCAAAAGAACAGTGAGAACGCGACGGGATCGGGACCCGAGAAAAGAATGCGGTACACCCGCGGGTCAGCGGCGGGGTTGCGGGTAGTACATACCCACCTACATGAAAATCAACTCGAAGCCCGTTGATGGCTCCGTGTGTGTGCGTCGGGCAAACGATGGCTTTTTGACAGAATTCGGAGACCAACAACCGACGGCAAGGCGGCCGCTTGGACAGCCCAGGAGCGGGCCGGCTGCGAGGAAAGAACGGACTAGTGGGTTGCAGACAAGAGGGCGAGCACGCAGGAGAACTCCATTAGGTGCTTTCTGTTCGGCTTTTTCTCTCACGAGCCTCCATTCGCTCGCTCGCTCGGTCGCTCACTCACTCAGACACACACTCTGTAATAAAGTCAGCGCCGTTTAAAAGCATCCTTATTCTACATGGCCACTCACAGCATGCAGTCGGTTGGTTCGCCCTCCTGTCCGTTGGCAAGTTGCATGACTGTGGAACTGGTGGTGGTAGCTGCATCGGCCATAAAGTGAATAAACTCGCTCTGGCCGGCGCGGCGGGTCGGTCGGCTAGCCGTCCTGCCGCCCGTTCATTTCTCCCGACAGCCACCCCGGATGAGTCCTCGTAGAAGTCCTTTTGCTGAGAGAATCTCGGTCGCACTCGGACAACGGCGGCGTTCCGATCCCCTCCCGGGTAGCGTCATGGACTTCCCGTCACTCAAAGGGGGTCCCGCACCGGTCGTTCATTCCATCAGAACACAACATCCCTTGTGTCGGCCCTGCGGCGTCGTTTCCCCTCTTCGTTTATCCGCTATCCGAGGATGAGGTACAAACGCAAGCTGCTGTCCGTGGTAATGGACTATGAGAGTGGTCCTCATTCGGAGCCCCTCCCCGCTAAATTAATAAACAACGAAACAATCGAATGAAGAGCGAATTGGCGTAATGAGCTCGATCGGCTCGTCGAGGTCGATGCGTGAAGTGACGACTTTAGGACGGGGCCCGGAAGGCGAATGGATGGCCGTGATGAATCCCGAGACGCACCTTCTCTCGCGATGCCGGGCATTCTCGGCATCCTGCTTCCAGGAAAGGGAAGCGCCGCGGTTTCCAGCTTTTTCATCGAGCTGAAGCGCGGAGCGCGTCATGCTCGTGTTATACGATTTCGAAATTTTCATAAAAGTTAAGCCTCTCCCTTTCTCGTTTGCAGGTAAGCCGCGGCGACAAAAAACGTCCGACTCCACAGATCATCGATCTTGGAACGTAATTCTGTTGGTCTTGTAAGTCCCGAAAATCTAGGGAACCCTGACCGGTGAGCGAAACGGTGCTTGCGGACGGGCGCACGAGCGGCTACTCCGCCGTCCGTCCGCCCGCTCGTCGGTCGGTTGGCTTGAAGAACAGCAAGTGGGTAAATGGTTCAAAAAGTCAATTTGGTCCCCTGGCTTGTCGAGTCTCTGCGGACGGGAGATGGACGTCCGTCCACAGCCGTCGTTTGGTTCCGACCATCGCGGAGAGACATTTCAACCATTTATCAATATCCAGTATAATGGTCACAACTCACGCCGACTCCTCAAAAACCTCGCTTCCTCTGGTTCTGTCCCGGCAGCCCCGTAATCCGTCGCGAACTCTTTGTTTTGTCCCCCCCACGTCGTCGCTTTTCCGACTTCCAATGGGTCGTATCGGTCCTTTCAATGCGTGCAAGCGAGCGAGTGGTATAACAATGAGCCATCCATTACCGCAAGCGGAGCAAATCCTTAATCGATGCCTACCGTTGGAAGAAAAAAATTCAACCGAACTATCCCGGAAATGTTTTTTCCTCGATTCTCCCGTACTGCAACTCCCGCATCGCTTCGTGTTTGTGGAAATTCCCGGGACGAAATCCTTCCGAAGCGAGCAGGAATTGTCGGAGTCCTAGCGGGAGAAGGAAAAAAATGGACAGGAGAAAAAAAAGCTATGAACCACAGTTCTCTCCTGAAGAACCAAAAGAGCGATAGCGTTCCCCTCCGCAGACGTCTCACGGCTGTCTGCAGGATGGGGAGATATGTTGCGTGTGTAAACCAGATAATGAAACTTTCGCTTCGGCCAAAGACAAATACGGAAAGTAAGAGTTACGTAATGAACCAATAGAAGACGCGTCACGTAGATAGTACCGTTGGCAGGATTGCAACTTTCCGCAGCTCGATCGTCGCTGCTCAGCAGAGCGTCGAGTCTCCGAGCTGCGGCCAGGTCCAGGTTTCCCTCCCACGCTTTTCGACTTCGTCGGAATCTCCCACGGTTGACGTGAATGAGAATGGCGGGAATTGAGGGAACGTTCTGCGTTCTCCACAAGGATTTGGTCTTTCGCGAATTCCCCGCTTTTCCACTAATCGCCACCACGCTGAATGCCTGCCGGTCGGGGGTCTTGTGGCGTCGTCGTCGTCGAATTGCATTCGACAAACATCGTCGGACTGGTCGTTCATATAATGCTTTCAGGTTAAAGCTATTGCCGAGCCAAACGCGCGTAGTTCCACTCCACGAACTAATCGGAAGAGAGAGCGGTGGAGAGAGGGATTTGGCCGAGCGAACAAACGCACGGACGAACGGATTGACGACTGGACGGACAAACCGTCGACTCTGCAGCGAGTGGTAGAGCTTAATTGAAACTTGAATACCCCTAATGATGTTGCATGCGAGAAGAGGCAATAGACGTCAGTCTTCATTTGGCGCAAATATTATCGGAACAGTCGCCTGGGTCCTTTCCTCGAACAATGGGCTTCATTAACCGGTCGCCCAACCTCTGGCCGACTGGCCCCCAGGCTCTCCCGCTGGAACAAGGGGGCGGATGGATGACGTGGGGTGGGGTGCGGTACGCTCTTATGTGGAAATCGCGGGCTCCTTGCCACCGCGACGTCCCGTTGCGGTCCTGCCAGGCCACTCACACTGCCGACCGAATTCGACGATATTCTCGCCATGAAAAGAGGCCCGTGCGAAACGAGGGTCCACTTGCGTCGTCGAGCGGAAGGCGGAAGTGACGCAATAGGCTTACGTTGTCTGCCGATTGTCAGCCCAAGTTCCACCCACTTGTCGGACCGAGAACCCGGCGCGTGGCTACCCGCAGCCCACGTCTCTCTTCATCCTTCCGAGCAGTCCATGTTCTCCTCGACTGCCCTGAGAGGCAGATTAATGCTAGCAGCAAAGTTTACCTCGATTTGCATCTCAGCCGCTGACTCCTAACCCGAGAGGTGAGGCGAGGCTATTCGTCCTCCATGTTCGGCCGCGTGCTTAGAGCGCGCGAATGCTCAGGGGCTCCCTCGCTACGCGGGCTGTCGATGACTTAACGTGGGTTTCGCGTTCGGTCGTTGGAAGTGCGCCCGCGATGACTCCGATAACGGCATTCGGGCGCTAGCAGAGCCCTCTCCGAGGAAACTCGACGGCACTAGTACGTATTGGCCCCAAAATACGAAAAACTCGCTCCGGGACCCATACCCCACTCAAACAGCTCACAGCCCTCACGCATTGTTGGGGCGAATGGGACGCCGCCCGCCGCCGTCATCAGCCTTGAATGCCCAAACAAGGGTCCGGTATTTGTTAAGAGTCGGCAGCGGCGTTTTCAAATTGCACTGAACAAAGGCTTGTGTTCTCCTTGTTTGAATGCCCGCGTCCTGAGTCATTTCCCATTCGTCCTAGCTCCATGGGGTTCCCCGGCAATTTCGGGAGCTCTGAGGTTTCCGTCCGACTTTTCCAGAGACTTCGGCCGAGGATTCCCGCGTCGAAGTTTTCCCTCGGAGCTGGGTAGTTTCCCCCAGGTCCTTGGGCGGAGGGCGGAGGCGGATTTGGCTCTTCCAGACGAATCTGTCGGCGACCGCGCCAGCCCTTCGAGGGCGAAAGGTCTTGTGTTTGTGCGCTCGTGCCGTTTTGAAAGCCCTCTAATTCCTTTCTAGGGCTCTCGTAGTCCCATCGAGTTCGGCTTTTGGTCCCTCTTGGTGGACACTTTTTGCCCTCTTCATAGTTGCTCCCACTTCCCATTGTTCAATGGGCTCGCTCGCCACCTGTGGTCAGCCACATTGTTCGAACTGATAGATGGAAACTGGCCGTGCTTTCAACAACGATCGAAGCAACGAATGGCGTTGACGTGCCCGGACCTGTTGTTGTCATCGACGTCGTTACAGCCATCGCAGTCGGCGTTGTTGTCGTCATTGGTCGTGGCCTCGCTCGTGTTAAGACCACGGCGCTTGAGAGATTACCAAGTATTTTTTTTTGCTCGCACACCCTGAGCGTCGCTCACGCCCCGTGTTTTATCCAGTTTGTCGCTCGTTCGCCCAGTGGGCTGCTTTCGACGGCGAACGGGCGGGTGGGCAGACTGGCGGACGGTGCATCGTCGTCGTCGTCGTCAATCCCCTCAGGAAGACGGCTGGCTGCAGCGGAGCCGAAAGGGGTGGGGGAGAGAGTGTAGAAGGATGAGGGTGCCGAACGTTGTCGGCATTCCAAACGCGTTCCAAGACGCCTCTCCGAGAAGAAGAATAAGCCAACCAACCACTGGCGCAACTCGAGCTGCATTTGAGCTTCTTCCTTCTCAACCACCTCCATCGTCCTCTTTCTCCTTACGGCGAAAGCAGCGTTTTTCTGAGTGTGCCGCCGCGGCTTCCTCTATCTAAGCCTATAAGCAGTTCAGTCAGTCTCGGCGTCACCGACCAGACTCGGGGCAAGCTAGTCAGCCAGTCGGTCACGCAGCGACGGGCATCGGCGCTTCTCGCCCTGTTTGCTTTAGCCTCAGCGTTTTTCTTTCCAAGCCAGTCAGTCCGCCCGTCCGGCAGACGATTCCTCTCTCTCTCCCCCCTATCTCTCTCTGCCACTCGCTCTCTCTCTATCTCTCACTCTCTCCAAGAACTCCTCTCTGTTGGTTCGTCAGTTGGCGTGCCGTTGTTGTCGTTCTCGTCGTCGACGTCTTTGACGAAGCTCGACCGACAGGAGAGAGATCTTCGGGCTAACGGGAACGCAGGACGAGTACGATGTTGGGAAAAAACTCGAAACCGTCTCCAGGCGACGATTAGCAGAGCTCGTCGTTGTCGACAGTCTTAGACGCAAGCGTTGTCGTGGCTTCTCTAAGCGTTGATGTCATGCTTTCAGCTGACGACCAGTTTACTCGGGACGTGGTGGAGCGACACGACGACCGAGGCGAACGCTGAAATAGCGCTCGAGGCATGCGTGTCCCATCGGAGGCATGCGGAGGTCACGTGGCACGAAGGACAGTTTTGACGCACGCACGCGCGCGTCTCCCTCCGTCCGTTCGCCCGTCTGTCGGTCGGTCCGTCCGTCCGTCAGTCAGTCAGTCCATCTATCCATCCCCCCAGTCGTTCGCGAACGCTGCATTCCTGCACAACAAACTTTGTTTCGCTATTTTCCTCTAGCTGTAGGCGTCGAGTCACTGGAGGCGAGGTATCCGGACGTCTCTCCACTGAGAGTGGAGTTGGAACCGCCATGCCGCCGACCGTCCGAGATACGACAGCGAGCCGGCCCAGAACTCATTGGGAGAATTAGAAGGACTTTCGCTCGCGTTACTTTGTTGTCAGCGAGCTGAACTTTGTTGGCGCGACGAAGGCCAACTTCGATGACTTGAGTTCCACCTGCCCCGGGGGGGAGCGCTCGAATCCTCCCCGAACGCCCCCGGCTGGATTCTTCTATTCGTCATCCTCTTGTTCCTCCCCCGCTTGTACTCTTCCATCTCGGTAGGCGTTCTCTGCATGCCTTCGCTCTGCGTCGTTTCCGGTTGAGGTCGCGGAGCTCCTTAGGTCGACCGCTAATTAAATATGAATCAACTCCGCCTACAGACTCCGACATCTCGGCAGTGTTTTTATTAACCCTGCTTTCTTTTCGACTCGACCCCACTCGTCAGCGCACCGCCCCTTCCGACTCTTTCAGTCGGAGAACTTATTCCTCGTGAGGGCTCGTGTACCTCGGAATCTGAATTTCTCATCGATTTCCGAGTCGATACCTACGAATAAATGGGGACCGGTGAAAATCTGTCGTGATTGACCTCTCCCCAAATGAGAACACGGACTCATCGACTAATACGCAAAACATCGGATTTCTCTTAGTGAGTGGTTCCTCGATCGTCCGCGCGGAGGTCTTGGCGCATCATCTTCAATGAATGCGGACACGCTTTTTTGAACTCGTTTCGAAGTTCACGCAATCATGCAGTGCTCACTCGTCGTCCGCGAGAACCATGCGGGC